GCGGTTTAGCCGGGCACGGTGGCGCACGCCTGTCATCTCTGCGGCTGGGGAGGCTGAGGCTGGAGGATGGTGAGTTCAAAGCCAGCCTCCGCCAAAGCGAGGCCCTGAGCCACTCAGGGAGACCCTGTCTCTCAATAAGATGCAAAATAGGGCTGGGGACGGGGCTCAGGATTGGAGGGTGGACTTCTGTATCCCATCAACCGTGATGTGTGGAAAAGTATTTTCTTGCACAAAATTAAGGGAAAGACGGGTTAGTCATGGGCACCACCGGCTCTTACTGGGGCTGCATCATCCTCTACAAACACAGTAGAGGCTCGAGGAAACTTTTTTATACCAAATTCCTCTTGAAAGAGTGCAGTCTGGCCTGATGCTTTGTGGTAAAAGGGACAGAAACGCATAAAATTTCAAAATTGCTTTGTTTTACAGATTTTGAGTCGCCCCCGCCCCCTAGTGGTCAATTGAGCTGAGTGCATTACACTCTCACGGCTCAGTAAGACCAGGAGGGAGAAGGTCGAGGTGGAGGTGATGCATTGTGTTTTATTTTCTATTTTATTTTTGCTCAGCAGATGATGGTGATTTTGTCGATAACAACAGGAAAGACAGTGGAATGGATGGGACGTCACTGTCCTATGTTCATTACGAGTCCACGATCATGTGCCATCACAGAAATGAGACCCTGCTGGGCTCAGTATAGCACCCACCTGTCATCCCAGCACCTTGGGAGGCTGAGGCAGGAGGATCGCGAGTTCAAAGCCAGCCTCCGCCAAAGCGAGGCCCTGAGCCACTCGGGGAGACCCTGTCTCTGAAGAAAATGCAAAATGGGGCTGGGGACGGGGCTCAGGGGTGGAGTGCCCCTAGGTCTCATGTTTGTAGAAATATGTCCACTGTCACGGATAAGCGAAAAGAACCGATTTTTTAAGGGTCAACCTGGACTTTCATGCACGATGCAAATGAGGAGCCCAGTCGGTCCTTCCCTGAACCCCTTGGTCCCAGACTTTGGGCCGAGTTAGTTCTGAAGCCAGGAACCAGGTGCGGATCTCACGTGCCTCGCGCTGTAGAATCCTGGGTTCTGTGTTCTAAACCTGAGGTCCCTTTGGAACCTGGTTGCTAGGACCCAGTTTCTCGGGTGGCCAGTCTGCACTAGAGGGTTGGCTTTACCGTCTGCAGTCAGCAGGCGGCACAGCACTTCCTGGTGGTGGAAGTGACCTCGCCCAGCATTGCCCCCTGAGGCCGACCAAGCATCCCATGCAACACCGTCCTGAGCAGAGGCGTCCTAACGCAAAGTTACTACCTGGGAAATTTCCAGAAATCAGTGCCTCATAAACTCTAAAAATCACATTTTCAACAGGGAATCGTTGCAATTGCTGTATTTTATGCAGAAATCCTTGCAACGATGACAGCCTCCCTCCTGCAGGGTTCTGAAGACGGGGATCTGGTTTGCAACCTGGGCAGCTGTACATGTCCTCATCCGTCAGGCTTCCAAGAGTGACGGTGGCCAGTCCATGTGCAGCTGACCTTGTCTTCCCGGGGCTGCTGCAAGCAAGCAATCGGTCATGCAGACGGCTCAGCGGAGAGCCACAGGTTGCCCCGAGGCCAGGAAAACGCTTCCCCCAGCTAAGCGGGTGCTTTAGCTTGGCACTAAGTGACTCTCGATGCTGAAAGAAGTGATCCACAAGTTTTCTCTTTAAAAAGCAAAAAAAAAAAAAAAATTAAACAGGAATCGAGTCCTTGAAACTGCTGCAGGAGATGGGAAGCTTCTCTTGCTGTCCTCCAGTTGTTGCTTGACCAACGTTCCACCAGGTGCCCAGTGGATTTGCACTTCAAATCTGGGATTCAGGGGCTTGGAATTTTTGCAAATGGTGAGTCCTGGGTGGTGTGCTTTCCGTGAAAAAGAAAAAGAAATCGGTCAGCGCCCTCTACTTCTGTAAGCAGAGAGGGCTGAGTATCCCTCTGTGTGCAATGTTCATTAAAATATTGGAAGAAATAGCATACAGCCCTGAAGAGGTAATGGCCCTCCATAGAAACTCACTTTGCTTTTTCTTTCTGCTCTGAACCATCATCATTTGCTGATTTTTTAAAAAAATAAGGCGTCTTTGACCCACCTCCCGAAATGTATCCTAACAAGTGTCTCTAAGACAGAGGAACATTCTAGCAAATCTGCCTAGAAGGCAAGAGGAAGCCCAGCCCCGAGGTCTTGGAGGGAGGGTGATATTAGACCACCTCCCAAGCTGGGCTGCTGCATCCTGCAGCTCCCCAGCAGCCTGTCCAGTCCCCTGAGTGTCCCCCTCCCCCTGGCCACACTGACAGCCCCATGCCACCAACCTGAGTGTGGCTGTCCCTTAGAATCAATGTCTCCTCCTGGACTCCCATCCACCAGAAATTGTGTTTGCTTTTTTATCGGGGTTTGTGGGTACCAGGGATCGACCTCAGGGGCACCCGACCCCTGAGCCCCATCCCCAGCCCTATACTGTATTTTATATAGAGACAGGGTCTCCCTGAGTTGCTTAGGGCGTCGCTAAATTGCTGAGGCTGGCCTCCAATTGACAATCGCCCTGCCTCAGCCTCCCCAGCTGCTGGGATGACAGGCGTGCGCCCTCGCACCCGGCCCACTTGAACCATGGAGTCCTGGCGTCTTCCGAACATCCACCTTGATGGACAGCCATTAGCACCACCTGTTTCTAGAACTTTCTCATCTTACCAAATTGAAATTGGGTCCCCATGAAACACCCGTTCCTGGTCCCCGTCCTCTGCCCCCCGCGCCTCCTTTCTCGATGAATCTGAGGACTCCTGGGATCTCGTGCTGGTTAATTTCCACTGTGTTCCTCTAACTTGTCCCCAAACTGGACATTTTTAATAAAAAAAAAGTCATGCTAACCCGAGACGCTGGGAGTCTGAGATCCATATGGCAACCTCTGCACTTGGAAGAGATTATTGGACCGTCTTGAAACACCCACTGTGGCTACTGTTGCTCTTTTAATATGTATTGTTTAATTTGATATTTTAATTGTAATTCAAGTTTTAATTTAATAGTTATTGTTTAATAATTGATGTTGATTATCATTATTAATAATTGTCACAAGTATTATATTAATGAATATTAATATAATAAAATTATACATTAATAATTTATATATAGAATTATTTATATATGATAATTTGTAATTATTATATATAAATAATTTATATAATTTATATATGATAATATTATTTATATATAATTTAATATAATATATTATATTAATATATTATCATACCATATATTATTATATTATTATATATTATATATCATATTATTCCATATTATTGTACTATCATATATTATATTATATATTATTGTATATCATATATCATAATATTATATATTATTGTATTATTATATATCATATTATTCCATATTATTGTATTATTATATATTATATTATTATATATTATTGTATTATTTTATATCATATTATTCCATATTATTGTATTATCATATATCATATTATATATTATTGTATATCATATATCGTATTATTATATATTGTATTATTATATATCATATTATTCCATATTATTGTTTTATCATATATTATTATTATATATTATTGTATTATTTTATATCATGTTGGTATATATTATATTATATATTATCATATCATATGTTATATTACTCTTTATCAATATGAATTTACTATTAATAATATTGATGTTTAACATTAATATCATTATATTAATAGCATTGATACCATATATTAATCATAACATCAATATTTAACATTGATATTAATCCAATCAATTGCTGGCATTAACCTTGCTGATGATTTAATGTCATTTGTTCCTCTGACTTGATGATACCTGTCTTTTGTGGTCTGTGCTTAACGGTGCCTCGAGCTGCGGCTCTATTCTGCTTTATCTGTTTGGAATGACCCCAGGGCGTGCACCTGCCTTCCCTGAAAATCGAGCATGACCATTTCCCTGTTTTCCTTTGAAGATGGTCTCTCCTCTTCTGTCCCCCAAGAACCCCCCGGGGACAGCCCTGGATGCCACTTAACACCAACGACATCAGTCATGGTATTTATTGGTGATGATAATAATATTCGTCGAGTGCTTCTTTTGCAGCAGGTGACTCCCACAAAGTCACCTGTACAAGGCTCACGGCTAATCTTTGAGGTTAGGACGGAGTCCTCCCCGTTACACACGCGTGTGAGCACACACACACGCAATGAAGAAGGCAGAGAAAGTTCTGCCCCGTCGCAGGGTTGGCAGAGGGACAGGCATCTTGCCTCAGAACCAGGTCCTTGTCCATGAGGAAGACAAAGAAAGAAGAAGAAAGGAAAGAACAACGAGGTTTGCAAACCGACTTCAGCAGGATGCTCAGGCTCCATGGAGACCCCCCTGGGGACATGAAATGACTCTGATTTATTAGGTGCAAGGAGGGGTTACTCACTGGACCCCCTCCCAATAGTGGCACGGAATCCACGTTCCTGTCTGTAGGCTCCCAACACAACTTGAAGGGGAGCTAAAGGCTGGGGATTGGAACAAGGTGGTGGCCTCCATTTTGATCCAAAATGGTAGACCTGCTCAGGCGTGTGGTGTGGCTTGGATCTGGAATGTTCCCCTATGACTCCTGAGCTCCTCAGTGGGTGAATCCATTGATGGGTTCACACTTGAATGGACCATTGAAAAATGGTGGGAACTGAAGGAGTTAGGACCTATTGGGACAAAATAAGACAATGGAAAGTGGCCATGGGGACTATATCCTGTCCCTGGCTCCTTTCTCTCTGGTACCAGGCTGCCCTGTCCTGAGCTGCTCTCCTCCTCCAGGCCCTGCCGCCATTTTGTTCTGCTCCCCTTGGGCCAGAGCCATGGAGTTGGCCCACCAGGGACTGAACCTTCAAAACCATGAGTCCCCAATGAATCTTTCCCAGCTAAGTTGACTTTTCTCAGGTGTTTTGTCACAGTAATGGAAATCTGACTGACACAGCGTGTCTGTGGTGGGTAACTAGTGACCCCACTGCTCACGGAGCGGTGGGCAGGATGTCACTTTCTTTGTCACAGCCACAGAAGGGGAAGGTCCCACAGCACGGCTGCAGCCACGGTTTCCAAATGGTGTGGAACACAGATAACTGTCGAGGGACAGGCGTCAGGGACCCACGGTGCTCCTTTATGGCGGCCTCGATCTTCTTGATGACGGAGTCGAACAAGGCTTCATTGTCGGAAGTAAGTGGTTGGGACTCAGAAGGGTCTCTGGAGATGTCGAAGAGGAGCGGTGGGTCATGGTGGGTCACGTCCCCAGAACAGGAACACATGGCGCTTCCGTAGCAGGCGCCGGATCCCTCGGGGTGGAAGTTGGGCGTCACATAATGGGCCTTCCACACAGTACCGCCTGAAAAAGACATCTCCAGTGTGACATGGCGTTTGTGATGGGTTACAGGTGGCTTCTGGGAAAACATATATCTCCATTTTCCAATCTTTTCTTGGTGCATTATAATTGTGAATAACCCTGGGGTGCATTGATTCAGATTTGTACATGAACCCAACATAATTTGGTGAGTTTAATTTCCCAATACCGCCCCTCTTCCCTCTCCCTGTGCCATTTCCTGGACTCTACTGGTCTTTCTTCCATTTTTATGAGATTCTCTCTTTTTTCCTCTCTAACTTCCACATACATAAGAAAACATAAGACTTGCTGAGTCTGGGTTATTTCACTCAGCAGGATGGTCTCTAGTTGCATCCATTTTCTTGTAAATTCCATAATGTCATTTTTTATGGCTGTGTAATACTCCATTGTCCACATTCTCTTGATCCATCCATTTGCTGATGGACACCTCTGGGGGTCCTGTGCTTTGGCTACTATGAACCATGCTTCTCTAAACACGGGTTTGCACATTCCCAGGATCAACCAAAATGCATGATCTTGGTTCACTTTGGATAAATCCCAAGGAGTGGAACAGCCCGGTCATCTGGCAGCTCCAAGCCGGGGCCTTTGAGCAACCTCCACTCCTGGTGGCCACCATGATCATGGAGATGCCAACCCCAAATGGCACCTGGATCTGCTGGGGCGTGAGCCCCGTGGAGAATTATCTAAAGCCAACGCCGCTGTCAGAACTGAGATGGTCAGAAGTCCAGGGGCGGAGTCCACCCTTCTTCCCTCCCTCCATCTCCCCCTCCTCCTTCCTGCCCAGGTTAGAAAGGCAGAGACCATCCCTTCTCCCGCTTCCCCACGCCCACGATCTCCGTACTCACAATCCTTCTGGTGCCACCGGACGGTGTGCAGGTAGGTGCCGCAGTAGTGGAAGAGGAACTCGTGGTCTGAGTGGGCCACCCTGCCCTCCAGGAGGGGCATGAGGTTACGGCCGTCAATCACCCTTAGGAGAGAAGGGCACGGGGGGAAGTGGGTGAGCCGGGCGCTGGGTACCAGCAGGAGCCAAGGAGGAGACTCTTGGGACTCAGGTCCCGAGTTGGAAGAGATGGATCACGGAAATGTCCTGCAGCCCAGGAAAAGCTCCGAGCTGACCCCAGCCCAGTTTCCATCATTTACTACGCGGACGATTCAATAAATGCACCTTTTATTCATCCAGAGACATATTGAGCAAGCGGAAGCTGCCTTTTAAATGTGGTGGATGCTAAATATAATGCCCAAGTCCCTTTCATGTCATGGGGTACTCGCTCCCTGTGACCCTACACATCTTAGATCTTCACGAGATGACCCATTACACTTAGCGCAATGGCTTATCTGTACGTTTATTTATTTATAGTTGTCAGCATTTTCATAAATGATAGAAAATAGTTGAGAGATTCTATTGTACAGGGAATCATGTCAAGAAAAAAAAATTCTGTGCACGTTCAGTGCAGACGTAAATGATTCCCCAACGGATTGATGGTTGGTCCAATCTGCAGACGGGGAGTCCACTGATAGTAAGGGACCTTGGTGGCCTGGGAGCTATGAAGGTTGTCAACATGCATCAGGGTTGGATCCTAGTTCTGAGGGCGACCCAGCATGTGCACATAAGGATATAAGTCAGATGAAAGGATCAAGACAATGTGGGATCTGTAGAGTGGAATATTACACAGCCATAAAGAAGGATGGAAATATGGTATTTGCCCATCAATAGGGGAACTGGAGAACATCATGCTGAGTGAAATAAGCCACACTCAGCAAGTCAAAGGCTGGATGTTTTCTCTCATATGCAGAAGCTAGAGCAGCCTAAGGGGAAACTGTGTAAGTGGAGGGGGATTCTATAAAAATGGAAAGGGGTGAGATGGTCATTTATAGGAAAGCAGACACTAAGACATGTTCCAACATACTGCACCACATGCCCATCAGGGAGGGAGCTGGGTCCCCACAGGAAGCAGTACCCCCCACATGCCTCCAAACACATCCCTCCCCGTGAGCAGGGTCTGTTTTCCTACCTGTCGTGGGGCAAGATCCCTCCCCCGACGTAAGACAGCGTTGGGAAAAGGTCCATCAGACTCGTGGGCTCCTCAATCACCTTCCCAGGCTGCAGCACGGTGGGCCAGCGGAAGATCCCAGGCACGCGGATGCCCCCTTCCCACCCGGCCATGCCGCTGCCACCTGCGACCAAAGATGGGGGAGGAAGATGGTTCTCTAGGGAACAGAAAGACCAGTCCAGCCGGGTGCACTGGTGCACGCCTGTCCTTCCAGCAGCTGGGGAGGCTGAGGCTGGAGGATCGCCAGTTGGAGGCCAGCCTCAGCAATTTAGCAAGGCCGAAAGCAACACATGTGCAGGCTCAAGAACCACAACACTAATCAGAATAGGTGCAGATAGTTTTCCTGACTGTATACACACACACACACGTAGAGCCACATAATGGCATTTTGGTATTAATTCATCGTATACAGTTGGTGCATGTGTGTGTGTGTTTGTGCATTGCTTAAAAAACGGGGGGTGCATTCCTCCTGAGAAATGCATCGTAAGGCAATTTCATCTCTGTGTGAACACGGAGGGCTGTGCTCACACACGCGGAGATGACTACGTGGATTAAATTAGATACACACCTATGTTTGGGGACCAGGGATTGATCCCAGGGGTGCTTAACCGCTGAGCCATATCCCCAGCCCTTTTTAATTTTTGATTTTGAGACAGAGTCTCATGGAGTTGCTGAGGCTGGCCTCTAACCTGTGATCCTCCTGCCTCAGCCTCCCGAGCCGCTGGGATGACAGGGGTGCGTCACCGCGCCCAGCTAGATGATGTAAGGTATGGAAACCCTGATACCCTAGTTTTTCCGACGTGGTGTTTTCCAAGGTAAGAAGAAAAGAGCCAACTTCGAATTCCTTTTTCAAATTGTCTTTGTGTTGGTGAAGTTTTGCGATGCCCCAGGAGCAGATGAGTTGTTGAATAAACTACCTCAGAGGGAGGTGGAAGGATCTGCTTCCCATAAAGGGCACCGGGCTATGTTTGGGGACACTTTCAGTTGTCATAGCTTGGAGTTATGCCAGAGCCCAGAGAGGCTGCTCCACCTCCTGCAGCGCACAGCTCAGCCCACCCCAGAGAACCCCCAGCCCCAGAGGCCCCCAGTGCAGGGGAGACTGCAGGACACTCTCTGTCCATCATCTATCATCTGTCATCTACCAATTCTGTCTATCATCTATCTATCTATCATCTATCATCTATCCATCCTGTCTATGTATCCTATCTATCTTTTATCATCTATCCATCCTGTCTATCAGTCCATCTATCTATCTGTCATCTGCCAATTCTGTCTGTCCATCTATCTTTCTGTCATCTACCCATGCTGTCTGTCCAGGTGGCTCTCACACCCTGGGTGGGGCTGCTCCTGGCTCCTGGTGTGTGGGGCCCAGAGAGGCTGCTCCACCTCCTGCAGCGCACAGCACAGCCCACCCCAGAGCACCCCCAGCGCCAGAGGACCACAGTGTGGACACTGGGAAGCCCTGCCGTTGGTGGCCTGTGAGGTCCCATAAATTTGCTGTCCCAAGGTTGTCACCACCCCTAACATTTTCACCTCCAGCCCTCGGAAGCCCCCCAGAGGCCGCAGCCTCATGATGGACGGGAAGGTGTCTCCAGGCAGCAGAGCCTGGGCAGTATCCAGGGCAGAGCCGGTGTCCCCCCGGCTGTCACCTTGGTAGACGCCGTTCCAGCCGCCCAGCCGGGCCGCCCCGTCGAGTGCCTCCAGGCGGCCGCCGTTGTCGGAGGTGAAGTGCACCAGGGTGCGGTTGCTCAGTCGCTCCTGCTCCAGGGCCTCCAGGATCTTACCTGGGAGAGGTCACAAAGAGGGCCGTCACAGCAGGCCATGGGCTGTCCCCGCCCTGTGCACCCCCTCAGACAGCAGAGGACCGGCCAGCGGCTGCACTGAGCGTCCTGCAGAATCCAGAAGTCACCGTCCTGGGACGGCCCTGCCCGTGCCACACAGCAGGACATGCACAGCCCCGCAGGTGGGAAGGCAGCCGCAGACATCTCCTGGACACAGTCCCCTAAACACTCAGGGTGTGCGCAGGACATGTGCAAAATATGTAGAGATGACACAGTGACAGGATAGGCACCTCCATATATACGGTCACCCAGGCCTACTAGAAATTGCTTTAGCCGGGCACAGCGGTGACACATGCCTGTCATCCCAGCGGCTTGGGAGGCTGAGGAAGGAGGATCATGAGATCCAAGCCAGCCTCAGCCAAAGGGAGGCCCTAAGCAGCTCAGGGAGACCCTGTCTCTGAATAAAATGCAAAATAGGGCTGGGGGCGGGGCTCAGGGTCGCGTGTCCCCAGGATTAAAGTGGATTAAACCAAAAAGGCTCCTACACAGAGGCACAAGCCCCGCCCCCCCGTGATGATTGATTGGCATGTGTCTCCTGACCCTTCCAAACCCTCCTCTCAGAGGAGGAAGGAAAATTAAAACGAAGTCAAACATCCCTTCCAGATGCAGAACTTCCGATCCCCGTAGATAGCGGGGGTCAGCGACCAGCACGTCACCATCCTCGCCTGACGGGATGCATCCCTTTCCTCCCCAGCCCCAGCCTCCAATTTATCACCTCCGCCATCCATACCGTGCTCCTCGCCATGACTTGGAGACACGTGGCTTTGCTTTGGGCCAATGCCCACGCTGTCCCCCACGAACGTCTGAGCCTGCCCTGTGACACTACTAGCCAAGAATTTGCTTTCCTTCCACGTCCAATAGCTCAGAAGGGTGATTTTATCCATTATGCAATTTTACTGATCCTGCAACAAATGGCTCACGAGTGAGTCTTTAGTTTTTAAAATGGAAACATCTCTATGGCTGACCTGCGATGACCTGCGATGATGACCTGCGACTGTGATCTTGGAATGTATCTCACGGGCATCGTTGAACTTTGACCCAGGTTATAATTCAATGCATTGGATCAACGTATACGGGGGTCCATGATAGGACTGTCCCAGAAGCCGGACGTCACTGAAGACCACCCATCCCCAGTGGCTTTGCTGCAGCCCAGGGATCTGAGACTGAACGCCACGGGCCACGCTACTCACCCACCATCCAATCCATCTCTTCCACGTTATCCCCGTAGAGCCCGAATTTACTGTGGCCCACGAACTTCTCCTTGGTCACGAGGGGAGTGTGCACATGCAGAAAGGAGACGAAGAGGAGGAAAGGTTCTCGCTTGTACCTGAGGGGCGGAAAGTCGGGGTGATCAGCGGCAGGAGCAAGAGCCAGTCCCAACCTGGACGCGGGACCGTGGGTGGGGAGAGCTCGTGTTGGGGGTTGGAGAAGAGGTGGCTTCAAAAGCTTATGAGTGAGGAAGCGCAGGAAGGTTCCGAGGTGAAATGGTTGGGTTATGAGAGGTGTAGCCTAATCAGTGGATTAATCCACTTGAGTTGATTCAATGTGGGCAGGTAGGGTGTGGCTGGAGGAGGTAGGTCACTAGGGGAGTCCTCTGGGGACTATATCTTATCCCTGGATTCTCCCTGTCTCTGCTCCCTGGTGCCCTGTCCTGAGCTGCTCTCCTCCTCCAGGCCCTGCCACCATTTTGTTCTGCTCCCCTTGGGCCACAGCCATGGAGTCGGCCAGCCAGGGACTGAACCTTGGAAATCATGAGCCCCAGGTCAACTTTTCCTCCTCTACATTGTGTTTGTGAGGTCTTTGGGTCACTGTGACCAAAAAGGTACTAAAACACATTATTCCCTGGTAACACAGGTCTCAATATTGAACGGGTTGTTGAATATCTGAACTCTTCTGGCTGTCTCTGAACAGAATATGGTTTTTAGATACCAATACATCTAGAGCATCTGGGTGAATAAGTACCAACTGAGGGCGAACAGGGGCACATAAATAAATATACGACATGACATTTATAGAAACGACTCTTTTTTCATTTCTTCCTCTTCCTGCTTCATGATGCCTGGAACATACACTTAGCTCGTAAGGAACCTAAACATCTTAAAACTAGGGTCCCTCCCCAGCAGCTGACGGATAGAGATGTCTTCCTCCATCTGTCTCTAAGGAAAAGCAAAAGCAAGACCCACCGTGAATTTCAATGTATCTGCACACCTGTCCCCACGGAGGGGATCTGCATTAAAATACTCTCACCCCCGTGTTATGGACAAGAGCAGGGGAGGAAATTGCATGCAAAAATGGCAGAAAACATAACTCTGTTTTTTTTTTTTTTCTATCCAAGGAGAAATTTAAGAATATCTAAAACGTCACCCTGAAAAGATTTGTCGCATCGAGACACACACAGATGCAAAGGCAGTGAAGTTTTTAGAGCCCCCAGGACTGGACCCAGACCTGTCAATAAAGGCGAGAGCTTCCTTCAACATGAGCACGGAGACCCGCTCCTCCCTCATGGGCTGCTGGACGATCTCGTGGTTCCTCATCAGGATGCAGTTCCAGCGCCGGACGAACCCGTAACTGGAGTACCAGGAAACGAAAAAGAGGAGAGCGACAAGGGCAGACAGGACAATGACGCTCCACGGGACCGAGAACCAGCCGGCCAGGTTGGGCAGCAGGAGCAGGACGGGCACCAGGCTGAGGACCAAGGTGGAGATCCACAGCCGGATGCGCAGCCAGCGGTGCAGCTCCGGGGTCTTGGACGCCTGGCAATCGCTCAGGAGCCCGAAGGGCATCCCGTAGAAGTAGTCGAACCCGTGGTTGAGGGGGTGGTGGCAGTGGTCATCCCGAGAGGCGCAGCTCAAACCCTGATGCCACTTCCCTGGAAGGAGAAGAAAAGTCCACCCATCACAGCGTGCACCGTGACCACCCTGGGGGAGGATGTTAATTGTCGCTTTTGGACTCTAATCATGGTGGACTCCTCTTGGTCTCCCTGGTGACCTTCTGAGGATGCCATCACCCCTTCGTCTGTCTCATTGCAAAGTGGCCAAAATTCTACAGGAGGAATTTCTCCCCAAGAGCCGCTCATCAAGGGAATCCATCATGAGCGCAGGATTCCCTTGATATAATCCTTCAATTATGTCACTTGCACTACTTTACGGGTCCCATCTGTCTTCTATTTTTCATTATTCATTCATTTGACGGGGACCTACCTATGAGTCCCGTGCGGTATCCCCGATGCTGCAGCAACTTGGCCAAGGTCGTCTCGTTGGTGGGCAGCCCGCCAGACCCACCAAGCCAGGTGAGTCCACGGTTCAGACTGTTGGATGAAACCATTCCTAAATTCATAAAAATTAACACATGAGCATCGCGGTCAATCTTTCTGTTATCATCTTTGCTAAATACCAGGGTTCACCCCGACACGTTCCAAATTCTCCCATCCTGCACCCCAACAATGTCCTTTGGTCCCATGTGTTCCTCTACTTTTTATAGCTGCAGAAGCAACCCTATGTGTCTCCGTGTGACTGGGTCCAGAGAGCCCCATGGGTGCCAAAACCCACCAATGCTGTTGCTTGTAAAAGAAGACTCAGCTTTTGCAAGGGCCTGGAGGAGGAGAGCAGCTCAGGACAGGGCTGACCTTGAACTTGATTTCTGGACTTCAACTTGCCCAGAGAGAGAAACCGCTCATCTACATCTCTTCTCCTGAAGTAAATTTGTGCCTTCAACTTCAGAACTAGGGAGCAACAGACCTGGGGACCTCAGTAATTTCAGCATGTGGAATGGACATCCCAACATGAAACTGCTTCAACCCATGTCAACCAAGCCCAGCATAATCCAGCACCATGTTTGGATAACTACCTGCATGAAATATTCTGACTCTCATCTCTGAAGCCACAACCTTGGGACACAGCTTCAAGAGGACAATGTCCCAATTTACCATAGGATGTCCCTCCTACCAGGCTCTGAGTTATGGTTCGGATTGAGGTGTCCCTCAAAAGCTTTTGTGGGAGAAGGTGCAAGAAAGTTCAGAGATGAAATCATTTGATTATGAAGGCCATAACGTACTCAATGGATTAATCCACTTGAATGGACTCACTGGGTGGTGACTGCAGCAGTTGGGATGTGGCTGGAGGAGGTGGTCCCTGGGCTGGGCCTTTGGGGTCTCTGTCCTGTCCCTGGTGGGCAGAGCTCTCTCTGCCTCCTGGTGCCATGTCCTGAGCTGCTCTCCTCCTCCAGGCCCTGCCGCCATTTTGTTTTGCCTCCCCTTGGGCCAGAGCCGTGGAATCAGCCAACCATGGACTGACTCATGAGCCAAAAATAAACTTTAATTCCCCTATTTTTTTTTCTTGTCACATCCTTTGGCCACAGTGAAACACTCAGTCATCTTAGGAGGAGCCCTTCTCATTTCTGTCCCTGCCCCACTCAATCCTCCTTAGAGTCCCACTAGATTCTTCTCTAGAAACCATCAGGTTCCCATCCCTCAAAGCTCAAATCCAACCTTGTGATGTGATTGATGGTCTACCTGACTCCGCACATGGCTGCCTTGTGACAAGGACTGAAGAGGAAGGGAAAGAGAATGCAGAGGCACTTCAGGGATAATTCTGGGACAGCATCTCTCCAGAGGTACTTAAAGATGGAACTATTGGGCAGATGTGGTGGTGTGCACCTGTAATTCCAGTAACCCTGGAGGCTGAGGCAGGAGGATTGCAAATTGGAGGCCAGCCTCAGCAATTTACCAAGGCCCAAATCATCTTAGTGAGACCCTGTCTCTAAATAAAAATTGAAAAGGGCTGGGGAAGTGGCTCAGTGGTAGAGTCCTTGCCTAACATGTGGGGGGTTCTGGGTATAATCTCCAATCCTATAAAAGAAAATTTAAATAATAATTAGAAGAAAAGAAGGAAGAAAGAGAGAAGGAGGAGGAGGGAGGGAAGAAATAAGGAAGGATGGAAGGAAAGAAGAAAAGAAATTTCCATGAGTCAAAATTCTCTTGCATTTTCCCTCTCCTACCTGATCGGATGGGGTACCGGCCAGTGAGGAAAGCCGCCCGGCTCGGGGTACAGACGGAGGCTGCTGCCAGGTGTTGGGTGAGCCTCACGCCCTCATTTGCCAGACGGTCAATGTGAGGGGTGCTGCAGGAAAATTATAGAGAATTTAGCAGGTGGGTTTCCAATCCCTCCCAAAAAAGGATTGAGATTCAAAGTTGTTCTCTTTTGGGGTTGAGATGACTGTTTCTGGCCACTTTAAAATACACCCTTCTATCTATCTGATACCTTCATCTATCTTCTTCGTTAGATGCTTTGGTAGTTACAAGCAGACAGAGCACAGAGTAGAGTTCACTCTTTATCTGCAGTTTGGGGTTGTGAGGTTTCTCTTACCCATGGTCCACCCTGGTCCAAAAATATGAGGTGGACAATTCTAGAAATAAACAGTTACTTTTAAAATGCACACTGTTCTGAAAACCACGATGTATTCTTGAGCCATCCTGCCAGGGACATGTATTATCCCTTTGTTCAGTGTATCCACCCTGTATATGCTACCCTCCTGCTACAGTAGGGGAAAAAAATAGCATATATAGGATTCAGTACTCTCCAAAGTTTGAGAAATTGACTTAGGATCTTGGAATAGATCCTTGAAAATAAGGGGGAGGTCTACCAACTCTGTAGGCAAAACTATTAGTGGATAACAATACTGTTCCCTGGGTATAACTTATTTTGAGTCTGCGTTTAGGTGCATTTCAATAGAAAAGTGAGTTCATTTGTTGGTATTACTATCCTAAAATTAACGAGGAACTTAGATGACACAAAATTTTAATGGGTTTCTTGTAGAAAAAAACCAGCCTCTTTAATAGCTAAATTGTGACAGTATGGAATTTATTTCCCATTCTGTTGAATGTTTTCAAGTCTCCAAAATCAATACAAAATTTTGTGTAAATCTGTAATGATTACAGATTTTTAAAAAAAGGAGAGAGAAAAATTTTAAGTTTGAAAAAGCGGCTAGAAGCCTATCCAGTCACAATCTCATATGAACTTGAGCATGTTACTTTCACAATTCCACAGACACATCTGAGGTTTTTCTGGGCATTTCCTGTGAGTAGAGACGAAATGTAGGAAGCTCCGACATCGTCTCTGAAATGGACAAAGCTTGAGGACAATGAGGCTCAGTTAAACTATCCAGGTGCAAAACGACACATCGTGCATGTTGTAGTCTCCACTGTATGCTGCATGAATATCCATTTTGCATCCAGCGTCCTGGGCCACCTCTGCTATCCCCCCACCCCTGATATACTGATGTTGGACTCTGGCATTCCCATGATGGCAGAGACGTGGGTTGGGTCACGGGCTCCGACACAGCAGGCGGACATCCCACAAGGCATCTTTACCTCACGGTGTTATTACCGTAGCAGCCCAGGTCACCCAAACCAAGGTCGTCCGCCATCAGCAGGACGATATTGGGCCTGGAGTTCCATGTCACAAACGTCCCATTCAGGCCACCAAGCAGACAGCATAGGGGCATCCACAGCCAGTGCTTCCTGAAAACATTTTTTTTGGTGGGGGGGGGAGAAAAAATAAAAAGGAAGAAAAATTAATGTGTGCATTTTAGATAATTATAGGATACACCTGGGTAACTTATTGTAAAGTCAGTATTTTTTTAAGTAGTCATGTTCTGTGTTAATATCGTACCACATGTGAGCAATTTAAGTGAGGTCTTGCCGCGCACGGTGACACACACCTGTAATCCCAGCAGCTCCAGAGGCTAAAGCAGGAGGATCACAAGTTGGAGGCCAGCCTCAGCCAAAGCGAGGCCTTAAGCAACTGAGTGAGACCCTGTCTCTAAATAAAATGCAAAATAGGGCTGGGGATGGGGCTCAGGGGTCGAGGGTCCCTGAGTTCAGTCCCTAGTACCCCTCCGCACAAAAGTGTGTGTGTGTGTGTGTGTGTGAGAGAGAGAGAGAGAGAGAAAGAGAGAGAGAGGAAGAAGGAAGGAAGAAAGAAAAATTAGTTTTGCATATTCTTAAAATTGCATATGCAAAGGATTGTATGGTCTATTCATTTCTTGGGTTCTTAATTTTGTTGTTTTTTTTGTCCTTTGGCTGTAATAAATTGTCATTGACAACACAACTCTAAGCTGAGTCCTGAACGTCCCACAGAGGAAAGCCAGACCTGGAGGTGTTTGGCAGGACAGCCAGAAACAAGATCTCACAAAATATGATACCTGCAGAGGGTAAGCTCACAGGTAAAGAAAACAAAGTAGGAAGGGAAATATTTCCATGAGCAGGTGGAGATGTGACGATAGGTAGGTACAGGACAGAGATGGACGGATGATGGAGATACATAGATGATCAATACACAGATGGTAGAGATGATAGGTGGATGGACGGACAGATAGAGCAAATGCATGGAAGGATGGATACATACCTAGATAAGAGAGATGATGGATGGACAGATGATGGATGGTGGATGGATATGTACATATGATAGATGGAGAGAGAATTAGCTGCTAAATACATAGATATGCACATAGAGGCATAGATAGGCGTGATAGGTGATAGATTCATGATAGATGGTAGACAGATGGTGGATACTTAGTACAAGGATAAATGGATGGATGATAGAGATAGATGCATAGATACATCTATGGATCATAGATACAGAGATGCATAGATAGATAAATAGAGGATAGCAATAGAGTTAGATGCATAGATAATAGAGATAGATAATGGATGGAGAGATGGATGGATGGATAGATTGATGGATGGGTGGATGGATGGATAGATAGGTAGGTAGAGTTCATGGATGGATGGATATATGGGTGAATGGATAGATAGATAAGATGGATGGAAGATGGGTGGATAGATAGATGGAGTTCATGGATGGGTGGAGAAATCAATGTATGGATGGATGGATGGATGGACAGATAAGATAGATGGATATATAGATAAACAGATGGATACATGGAAGATAGATACATAGATAGATGCATAATAGAGATGGATAGATGATAGATAGATAGATAGATAGATAGATAGATAGATAGATAGATAATAGAGGTAAAGTTTATGGATGGATGGAGAGATGGATGAATGGATGGGGGTGGATAGATAGACAAGATGGATGGAAGATGGATGAATGAATAGATGAATGGATGGATAGATAGACTGACTTCATGGATAATTGGAGAGATGGATGAATGGGTAGATGGATAGATAAGATGGATGGAAGATGGATGGATGGATAGATAGAGTTCATGGATGGATGGAGAGATCAATGTATGGATGTATGTATGAATGTATATATGGATGGACAGATAAGATGGATGGATAAACAGATAAATAGATGGATACATGGAAGATGATAGATACATAGATAGATGCATAATAGGGATGGGTAGACATAGATAGAGTTCATGGATTGATGAGAGATGGATGGGTGGGTGGATGGATAGATAGATAAGATAGATGGAAGATGGATGGATAAATAGATAAATAGATGGATACATGGATGAAAGATACATAGGTACATAGATAGATACATAATAGAGATAGAGAGATTATAGATAGATAGATAGATAGATAGATAGATAGATAGATAGATAGAGATAGATAATAGAGAGACTTTATGGATGGATGGAGAGACGAATGGATGTATGGGTGGATAGATAGATGGATAGATAAAATCGATGGAAGATAGATGGAGAGATAGAGTTCATGGATGGATGGAGAGATGGATGCATGGGTAGATGGATAGATACATAAGATGGATGGAAGATGGATGGATGGATAGATATAGTTCATGGATGGATGGAGAGATCTATGTATGTATGGATGGATGGATGGATAAATAGATAAAATGGATGGATAAACAGATAAATAGATGGATACATGGATGATAGATATATAGATACATAGATAGATACATAATAGAGATGGATAGATTTGGATAGATAGATAATAGACATAGAGTTTATGGATGGATGAAAGAGATGGATAGATAGACTGACTTCATGGATGGATGGATGAGTAGATGGATAGATACATGAGATGGACACAAGATGGATGGATGGATAGATAGAGTTCATGGATGGATGGAGAGATCCATGTATGGATGGATGGATAGACAGATAAGATGGATGGATAAATAGATAAATAGATGGATACATGGACAATAGATACATAGAAATAGATGCATAATAGATATGGATAGATTATAGATAGATAGATAATAGAGGTAAAGTTTATGGATGGATGGAGAGATGGATGGGTGAGTGGATAGATAGACAAGATGGATGGAAGATGGATGAATGAATAGATGAATGGATGGATAGATAGATAGACTGACTTCATGGATAGATGGAGAGATGGATGAATTGGTAGATGGATAGATAGATAAGATGGGTGGAAGATGGATGGATAGAGATAGAGTTCATGGATGGATGGAGAGATCAATGTATGGATGGATGTATGAATGTATATATGGATGGATGGATAGATAGATAAGATGGATGGTTATATAGGTAAATAGATGGATACATGGAAGATAGATACATAGATAGATGCATAATAGGGATGGATAGATATAGACAGAGTTCATGGATGGATGACAGATGGATGGATGGGTGGGTGGATGGATAGATAAGATGGATGGAAGATGGATGGATATATAGATGGATACATGGACGATAGATACGTAGATAGATGCATAATAGAGATGGATAGATATAGATAAATAGATATAGAATCAATAGGTGGACAGATGGATGGTAGCTGCATGGATGGATGGATACATAGATAATAGAGGTAGAACAGACAGACAGACTACTGCAGAAACCTTAATGCCCCAGTGCACAAGGACACGTCAATCATGAACCGCGTGACTTTAAATAGAGTCGCAATCCCAGGAGGCCCAGCTTGAGGAGCGCAGGAGGCCCAGCTTGAGGAGCGCAGGAGGACAGTGGCTGGGCACAACCCCATGGGGAGATTCTGAGCACCCATCTCCGAGGCCAAGAGCAGGAAGACTCGGGCAGGACGGAGCCTCCCTGGGGAGGAAGGCTTCCCTGTGGACCCAGGAAATGACCCCTGTGCAAGGTGGGCGACTCACCAGCCGCAGAGTGGCCGTCCCATGGCTCCTGATTCTGTGACCTACAGAAGAGAAGACGTTGAGAGCGTCCAGAGAGCAAAGCCTTCCTCGTCCCCTGGGAGGCAATGGTCCAGCAAGCCCTGGATTGCTATCCATAATGGCAAACATGTGACCTCAGGCTAAATGGAGCTCGCGGGGGTCTATGGAGAGCGAGGTAGTTCCAATGGCCGACTTCCAAAACACTTTGCAGACTGACCTCCCCAACCCTTCTGGGTTGGAGTCATACAATAATTCGCCCCTGACCTCACTTTTCCGTGGTGCTCGGCTAAGTGACATTTTCTTCCTCCACAGGGGATCAACATGTCCTGCTCAACATGCAAACTCTGTAGCCAGGGGGGCTTGCGTTTGCAGCTTCTTGGAGGCCGAGATGATTGTGCATGGGAAGAGAGGTTTCCCCAAACTAGACGTGACCCCATGTTCAGAATCCAAAGACTGGCGTCATCTGGGATCCGATTTCCAGGGCGCTCCGGTGACTCCAAGTTGGTGAGCTGGCGGAGGCTAAGAAGACCCCGCAGGACAGGCAGCCGGTGATGCACCTCAGCAGCAGCACCACCCTGTGGTTTATGGGGCTTTCTAATCCCCGAGGCTCCTCCATACATTTATTCCTATTTTGTCCCAATGATACATCACCCTGTTGGCTTCCAAGGGCAAAGGATCAATGGGCAATTTTTGGAAAGAAGAAACCAACGATGCTGGAGATTTGAAGACCTCACCGTCTCTTGAATAAGGCTGCTATCGCACAGGAGGGTTTCAAAACGGGGACCTCGTTTGAGGAGGACCCCATTCATCCCAGGCTGAATATTATGGGTCTTTTTGTATTAGACCTGACCTCATTGAAACCACTACTTAAAAAAAAAAAAAATCACACTGTGACCAGGCTCAGAGGTGCATCCACTGTGATCCCAGCGGCGTGGGAGGCTGAGGCAGGAGGATCAAATTTGGAGGCCAGCCTCAGCAACCTAGTGAGGCCCTAAGCAACTCAGCAAGACTCTGTCTTTAAATAAAAAATAAAAAGGGCTGGGGATGTGGCTCAGTGGTCAAGCACCCCCTGGGTTCCATCCCTGATACCACAAAGAAGAAAAAAGAAAACACTAATTTTCTATGTCTCTATTTCATTGTGCAACAGATTAGAAAAATTCAGCTAAATCCACAGCAAATAAATCTAGAGTTTCCCAAGACGTTAGGGGACAGAGACAGAAACACTCATGAACACACAGGAGGTTTTTTAGAATTTGCTAATGCAACTTGAGCATGCATTATCCCAAATGCCTGGGATCAGAAAAAAAAAATCTATTTTTTTTTTTAAATAGTGCAATACGTTCATGTATCACCTGGGATGTCTGCAGAGCACGACGTGAGGCTGAGCACAAAAATGCCTTT